CATATGAATTGTCGACGGTATAATTAGGGTCTGTTGTTATAGATGATAGTAGCTGTTTCTTATACGAATCACTAAAGCTTTTAACATCGGGCAGATTTCGTAGATCTGTTGGAACATTATTCCAACATTTTGCCCCCAAGTATTGAAAGTTTTTATGTGATGTTGATCTATTGACATAAAGGTTGCAGCTTTCGCCGCTCCTACTACCTCCTGATATGTAACTAAATTTGTTCATAAAGTTTGTAGGACAATTGTCATGGATGATTCTAAACATATAATTTGACAGATGGAGTTGTCGTCTAAGATGGAGTGGTAACCATTTCATGTCTCTATAAACATTAAGGCTGCTCTCTGTTTTTGGAACGTTGAGAGCTATTTTGGCTACCTTTTTGTACAGAGTGTCAAGTTCAGCAAGTTTTGTCTTGCCAGCTCTACAATAGATCGTGTCTAAATAATCGAATTGTGGCAACATGAGTGCATTGGCAAACATTTTCCTATATTTAATGGGTAGCAGTGCTTTACTTCTATACATGGCACCAATTCTCTTCATGACCTTCCTAATAATATAATCTACATGGCTTTTGAAGTTTAATTTACTATCTAGAATGAGGCCAAGATATTTTGTCTCTTTGCACTCCTTGATTGTGAAAGTTACCTCATTACAATCAATGGTTATTTCATCATGTTGGTCAACAGAATCAAACAATAGGAATTCAGTCTTATTTTCATTGAGTGATAATTTATTAACACTGAGCCATTTAAAGATTGTCATAAGTTCTATTTTCATGTTTATAAATGTGCTTCTGCAGGTTTGATCAAAGAATAGTGCACCATCATCTGCAAATAGAAAGGGCTTAGATAGGTTACAGGCATAAATGATGTCATTTATGAAGATACTAAATAATATAGGCCCAATGATGCTTCCTTGTGGTACACCACTCAGAACTTCTAAAAATGAGCTTAGATTGCCATTGATCCTAGTGCATTGATATCTACAAGATAAGAAGTTCTTAAACCAGGTTAAAGCAATGCCACCAATTCCATAATATGCCAATTTTTGAAGCAATATTTCATGATTCACTGTGTCAAAGGCCTTCTTAAGATCAAGAAAGATGATTCCTGGTTTATAAGACTTAGATTTACTCATATATATTTCGTCCATCAGATCGTACATCAGATAAGTTGTGGAGTGATTTTTCCGAAAGCCATATTGATGCCGGATGAAAAGTTTGTTCTCTTCCATGTAATCAGTGAGTTGCTTGCCGACAAAGTATTCTATAAGTTTTCCTATAAGTGGAAGGATGGATATTGGCCTGTAATTATTAGGATCATCTTTCATTCCTGCCTTATGGATGGGAGTTACTCTAGCTTTTTTACAAAGGGTTGGTACAACACCTGTATTAAGGCTCAGATTGACAATGTGGGTCAGTGGCTCAACTATGTGTGGTACAGCTTGCTTAAGTAAAAATAGAGGCACATTGTCATATGAGGCCTTGTCATTCTTGAGCGTTTCGACATACATTAGGATATCAGTTTCATTTATTTCTTGGAATCTATCAAATGAGATATTAGAAGTTCTAGGAGGTAAAAAATCAGTAAAACTAACTCTTTCAATATTGGGGGCCTGATTTTGTAATCTTGATCCAACATTTGCGAAATGAAAGTTAAATAGCTCAGGATCATTCTCATTGATAGTTTGACAATTAGTTGTACCAGGGGTCATATTTGATGCCAGTTTGATAGTTTTCCATATCCCTTTAAGATCATTCTTGGCACTTTTAACTTGTAGATCATCGATTACATTAGCCTTTTTGCAGGTTTTAGCTAATTTATTTCTAATATTTCTCTGAATCTTGTAGCAATCCCAGGCCTCATTACACTTTATACATTTGCTACATGTACCACATTCATTGCAATTTCCATTGTCTCTCTTATCCTTCTTTTTACGGAATTTCTTTAGAAGAAAATGTGTATGATTAATGGCATTTAAAAGTTCAGTAGAAGGTTTATGTATGAACTTTTCATGCCTTTCTATGGTCTTGCAAGGGAAGAAGGTTGCATATGCCTGTTCAATATGATGACAAAGGCCAGCAGTGATAGCTTCAACATCTGTACTTTCCAATAGTGGACTGTAATCAGAACAGGTATCTAGATAGTCTAAGAATTGTTTAACATTACGTTTACAATGATTTCTAATTTCAACCTTCTCAAATTTAGGAGCTATAGGTACTTTACAATCTATCTCACACATAATAGCTTGATGATCTCCTATACGTTCATCAAGAACAGAAGATTGGACAAAATCTGCATAACAGTTAGTGAATATTACATCAATAGTAGTCTGGGTAAAATTGTCTCCACGTTTAGCAACTCTAGTTATCCCTTGAATGGTTTGAACTAAATTGTAACATCTCAAGGTCATATCTAATTTTTTGTACTGGGTGGATGAGATATTATTCTGGTCAATGTTTATATCCCCAATCCAGATAACCTTTTTCCCATTCAATTTTTTCATGCAAAAATGAATGTATTCAATAAAGTTATCAACACTGCAATAATTTCCAGAGCGATAGAAGCAGCAAACATTGATCTTGCTATTCTTAAGCTTCACCCATAATGCTTCAATGTTATCAAGCTTACTATCCATAACTAATTCTGTGTAAGCTAGTTTTTTGTTTATCATTAAGCCACAACCACCCCTAGAACTGTTTGGCCTGTCGCATCGCATAAGGTTGAAGGAGGAAGGAATATTTATGGTGTCTGTGTCAATAGTATCATTTAGATTCATCTCATTTAGGGAAAGTATGTCTAATTTATGATCTCTAATAAGTTGGGAAAGTTCATTACTTTTAGCTAAATTGAGAAGCCCTCCTTGAATGTTACAATGACCAATGCAGAGGTTGTGAAACCTATCAGCTGCATTATTAAAATTTGTCATCTTGTGAATCTTATTAATTCACAATGGAATGAATAAAAGTTGTAAAGTTGTGTTTAAACTAAAAAACAGAATAAAAGCAGGTTGTATTTGTCTGGATGTCGTACTGTAAAAATAAAACTGATGGTAGGAGTGTTATGTCAGTAGTCAGCAGTATTCTAATGGTGTGCATGATACTTCAAGTGCCTTGCTAATTTAACTATGCCATAATCATTGAGATGGACATTATCCTCTCCATAACTACTAAAAAATGACGATTTTCTAAAGCCTTTCTTATCACTAAACAAGAAACGATTTGTCTCGGTTGAGAGCAGTTTTACATAGGTGTATTTTCTTTGCAGATTTGATATACACTCATTGATATCAGTTATAACCTTGTTTCTGGAGAAACTCTCCCGAGGTAATAAGTTAACAATTTTAATATCAGCTCCAGGTGCCCACTTGTGAAGGAAAAGTACAAGTTTTTCAATACAATTGTTTGTAAAGTCAAGAGCTCTAGCATCACCAGAAAAACTATCAGGGCACAGAAGTTTAGTCCTCATGTTGCGAGGGCTGTTCAGGATAGAGTCCACGTCATTTGTACCACACATAAGTACAATGCTTTTCACATTATTGGTATTAAGAGTGTCTTTTCTTACATCTGATTGAAACCGTTCATTGATTGCATTGGCTGTGGCACCAGGGTAGCTGAATACATGTGCCTCATGATGTTTGGACGATAGCTTTTCTCCCTCTAATTTGGAGAACATACTAGAGCTAATGTAGACACACAAAGATTTACCAGAATGTTCTATTGATCTAGTCTTAGGGACCGAGGGTTCAGTGTTCTTAACTTGACTGGAAACATCAGACAGAGTAGATAAGGTTGCGCTGCCATCAATTAGGCGCAGAGTAATGCTTATTCTCATGGTTTCAGACTTGTCCTGGATGAGGCTGTGTTCAAAGCTGGTCTGGGATTGTCTGGTCATATTCATTATGTCACCATGGGAGAGGGTGAGGTCAGCAATATGAGCTCTAAGTTTGGATCTGAAGCTTAGGACTCTAGTAGCCCCTAAAGAGATGGTGGAGATCATGGAGCCTGGTGAAATTGACCTCTCGTCATCCGAGTGAAAGGGAATTCCTTGCTGACCATTTCTATACTTGGTAATCATAGCACTATTGAATTTCAACTTTGGGAACTGTGATCGTAAGCGTTCTAAAATAGACTTTAGGTATGGATTGTCTGCTACTGGCCTTGTGTTATGAAAGCCTCCATTGTAAGCGTAGGGAAAGTCCCCGTAATATGCAACTGCCCTATTCTCAAACTTATGAGTATAGTGGGTTTCTATATCTAACTTGGCAGTGTCAACAAACTGAAAAACTCCTCGACTCAAATCTTGGTATGGATTGATAGAGTTGGTCACATCATTGTCACCATTTACAGAGTGTTTGGGATTTTCCAAATTGATAATTTCTGCTGAATGTTCACTGTCTTCTGCTAATTTGGATAGCTCTTGGGTTAACTCAGAAACAAGATGCGAGGATGACCTATTACTGAGGGGAACATTGATAGAATGTTCACAGTGATCAGGTACCTGGGGCAACACAGGGATAAGTGAACCATCGCTGAGGGGAACTTTGAGTGCACTGTCACTTTCTGATAATTGTTTATAGAGAAAAGAAATTTGCCGACGAAGACTATCATTCTCTCTTAATAGAGTTAAACAATTTGAACATTTATCAGTAGGACAAGAGCCGTTGCTGGGGAATTTAACAGAATTCCCTCGATATCTCAGATTGTAATGTCTTGAGCCAACTGGTATTCTAGACATAGTTTATCACAAAAAGATGCTACTGTTCGAAATTTAGTTAATGATTACAGTACCTTTGTAGCACTCCGGAGGATAAGGATAAGTGATGTCTGATAATCTTTAGGTGATAGGTGGGAGTAAACTGCTTTAAAAACCGATGTCTGATAGTCCTTAGGATGTCTTTAAGATAACTTTATCGTGCAACAACCATTTACATTGACATACAACCTGTAATGGTCGTTACATTTACCGAGGCATTAGTTCCCACTGGGGGTCCTCAATAAATGTAATAGATTTGTAGTGTTGTAATTAGTTTAAAACTAACTAAAGTAGGATGATATGGAAATCGGTCTATAAGCACCAGGTAACATGTAGCTGGATTTTCCTTCTTTCCTCAAGAATGTTACATCGGAAGATTTCCACAGCCATTTTCCTGTGCTCATACACCAGTTAAATATGATCTGCAAGACGTGAAGACAATTTGTTTTCATGTGTTTGAGGATGGTGGGGTGAATATTGTCTGCATCACATGATTTGTCATTTGTTTCTTGCCTTTCTATAGCTGATTTTATCTCGTCTATGGAAATATGGTTGTTCAGCGGATCATCTTCATTGTAACTACTTGCAGATTTGCTGCTAACATTCTTTAATTTACTGAACTCATTATTTACATGCATTTCGTGCTCTTGGTCATTGGGTTGGTTTTGAAGGTGTTTTCCTGTGAAGAAAGTATTAAATAACAGCTCTTCCTTATCTTTTTCAGATGTGACCAGCAAGTCACAGTCTTTGAGGTTGCAGATGAAGTTGTCAGTTTTGGCCCCAAAAACTCGTTTATATTTTCTCCAGAATTGAGTGCAGTCTTTGGTGTTTAGTGCTTCAACTCTGTCACGAATCCATTCATTCTTTTCTTTAATCAGCGCTTTTTTGAATGATTCAATGCTTTCAGTGAGTGTGGCCTTGTTTCTGGGAGTTGACCTTTGCTTGAATCTTTCTTTCGCTTCTAGAGCTTCATTAGATAGAGCTGTAAGTGCAGGACACCAATATGGTTTTGAATGAATGGATACTGTCTTCTGAGGGATGAACATTCGGTTAGCCTCCTGTATTTTATGTAATAACTGTTGCCATAGCTGATCCCCTTGGTTTAATAACTCTGGGGCCGAACGAAGATGTTGACAGTTAGTCTCGATTGCATTTGACCATCTTTTCCAGTCTGCATTTTTCCAGTCCATACACACTCTGGGGACAGTGTCTGATTTTGGAATCCCTCTGCAGATTTCTTGAAGCACCGGATAGTGACCTCTTCTTGGGGCACCTGAAAATAATTCAACATCTTTATCCATCCACTGATTTCCCAACTTTGAGATGATGGGGCCTTCGGCTAACACTAAGTCAATAACACTTCCTCCATTTGTACAGACAAATGTGCAGTCGTATGGCGAGCAGAGAGTTAGGGTTTCCTTTTCAACGTAGTCTAGAAGCTTCTTTCCTCGCTGCGTGGTAACATGATCTCCCCAGTCATGATGTCTTGCATTAAAGTCTCCATATGTGAGAAGAGAGTTGAATTTATATTTAGCCTTATATTCTCTTGCTTTATCAATGTGGGCAAGGAGTCCTTCAAATTTTCTTATGGAATCATTAGAGTTATTGCAAGGTTTGCAATAAACTGATCCCACCAAATATCTCTTTCCTTCAACTTTTATTTGGCACCAAACAGCATCAACTTCGTCTACGTTAAGGTCATAGACCAACTCTGGATGTAGTGAAGGATCAATGACGAGCGCTACCCCAGCTGTCCCTTTATTTATGTCCCCAGCTTTATGAAATACCTTTTGTGAAGACAAAGTATCGGTACACAAGAAAACAACAATTTCAAGAAAACAACAATTTTATTTAGTATCAATTAAAGCAGACAAAAATATATTTCATATATATATAACTAGCACGAACTTTAGATCAGATATCTTAGGGGACTTGGAGTAGCAAGAGATTGACTAAAAGGTATATAACTTTTACAAAGATACGTCGAGAAGAATCCAGGGTGATACAGGATCGGAGAGTGCAGACCAAAAGTTTACGCACCCACCTTTGCCTCCTGAGTTCTTGGTTGGGTAGAAATTTATGCAAACTTGGTCGTTTATACTCCAAGTCCCTTTCTTAAAAGAAGTAGTATTAACTATGTCTAGAGTTAGCTTCGTTCAATAATAACAATATCAATATAATCAATATCAATACCAGATAAACCTAACCAATAAATTATTAAATATCAATTAATTCATTCCGATAAAAAATGTTATAAATTTAGATATTTAACTTATAATCTAAAAACATTACAACAAATGTTTAAAAAGCGCCCAAAATCGATTTGAAAGATTTTCTGTCTATAGTACAATCATGATAGTAATAGTAAGTGTGTGCCGCTGCAATTAGATTTGATTACTGCAATTTAAAATTGTTTGGAGTCCAAGTATCTTTTAAGTCAGCTGCCTGTGCTTGTATTAATAGTGCTTTGGTTCTCAGTTTTATCAAGCTAATGGACGTTTCTAAGCAATTGCTTGAAGTTAAAATTTTTTTATGAGCAGCGTTCCAAAGCTTGGCTGCATTAAACAAAAAGGTATTTGATTTATTTAGGAGAATAACCATTAGACTCGTTGCACGGTTTGAAATGTTGATAGCCTCATAAAGGGAGTATGGGCAGTGGTACTTGATAATCTTAGAGAATTCTAAAATACAGTGATATTTGTACAAGTTTTGAGCTGTAAGAATTTTTAATCTATTAAAAATGGGTTTTGTATGCTCCTTTTCAAAGTGTTTATGGTCTAGTTTTTGCATACCGTATGGTCTAGTACGTGCACATGTTGATTGTTTATCTAAATATGAGTCAAGGTCGCCAAAAAGGATCCTTATACAGTGCTTCTGTGTGATGAAAAGACTATCATTGGACCGTTCTTTGAGGACAACACCCCAAACACTTATACCATAACTGAGATGTGATTCAAAAAGAGCATTATATATTTTCAAATATAGTTCAGAAGGTATCGAGTGCCGAATTCTGCAGATTGCACCAGTCATAGATCGCAGTTTTTTACGGATGTAGTGCATGTGGGCAATCCAGTTTAGCTTACTATCTATAACAACACCTAAGAATTTGGTATCCTTGACTTTAGTAATAACCTTACCATTGATGAATATTGATCTAGATTCATCTAGCAGGATAGCAAATGGTCTGGTCCGTGCACAGGTGTCATCATATTCAGAGGCAGGTTTAAAATGTATGTAGCAGCATTTGGACATGTTGATATGAAGTAGATTACATTTCATGTAAATCGAGACATGTTTAAGTACTAAGTTGGCTTTTTTGTATGTTGCTTCTCTAGATGGTCCTGATATGAAGATATTAGTGTCATCAGCATAAAGTACAAATTTCACCTCACTGTCTGAAAAACAGTTTACTATATCGTTCATATACAATAGGAAGAGTAACGGCCCTAGAATTGACCCTTGTGGTACTCCAAATTTCACGTCCATTGTTTCTGATGGTACATCGTTATACATAACATACTGCTTTCTGTTAGTCAAATAGCTTTTTAGTAAGGTAAGTGCTGTGCCCCTAATACCGTAGGAATTTAATTTGCATAAAAGAATATCGTGATCAAGGGTGTCGAAGGCTTTGCTCAAGTCAATGAATATCCCTAGTACATGTTTATTGCTTGCCAGAGACTTAGTAACGGAGTCTATAGATTTGTGTAGAGCATGGGTGGTAGAATGGCCTTTTCTAAATCCAAACTGTGAGTCTGTTAGTACACCTTTAGATGTGAAGAAATTATAGAGGCGTTTATAAATGACCTTCTCGAAGATTTTTCCAAATAAAGGTAATATTGATACAGGCCGATAATTTTCAATGCATTCCTTATTGTCTTTCTTGTAAATAGGAATAACTTTACCAGTTTTAAAAATACTTGGGAATGTACCACTTTGTATACATGTGTTGTAAAGCCTAGCCAAGGTACCAGCAATGAGCTTGGCCGGTTTTTTAACAACAACTATAGGTATGTCACTCGCCTTAAAGTAAAGTAAAGTAAAGTAAAGTAAAGTAAAGTAAAGTAAAGTAAAGTAAAGTAAAGTAAAATTTATGACATCACATCATCACACATGTCTACAAACTATCATCGCACTGTGTGAAAAAATATATAATAAATATTTCCCCACCAACATTAATTAATTATCAAATACAATATTTAAAAACAATTTCATCAAAAACATTATCCTATTTTAAAAACTTCCCAGTGGAATAAAGATTTATAAAACGCTTCTTTGCCACATAAGGATGGAACCAAAGATAATTGTTATGTTTCTCTTTATTACTGACATAACTGGCTCCCTCAATTCTTACTAAAACTTCATTAGAAACATTCCAAAAAAAGCAATCATTTGTAATACTTTTAGAAATCATATCTATCTTATATCCTTCTAATTTAATTTTAAAACCTAAAACTGTCACAGAGTTCTTGACGTCCGGAGGGAGTTTGTTCCAATATGGAATAACTCGCTCCGGGAGAAAAGACTTCTGGATATTCTTGACCTTTGTCACACTTTTACTACATCTATTGGATGAAACCAGATTAAGACCTGATCTGCTTGGTCTGAACAAGTCTGAACCATAATCAGTCATAGCATTAATAACCTTAAAAGCTTCAATAAGGTCCCCACGTATTCGCCGCTCTGCCAGCGTTGTCAAATTGAGGATTTCCAGTCTACGGCTGTAAGGAAGAGTACCCACCTCATCAATCAGACGGGTAAACCGCCTCTGGACGCTCTCCAGCTCCAAAACAGTCCCCCAACTTCCATGAGCCGCAGGTGGATTCCACAATTGGACACAATACTCAAGATGAGGTCTTATTAAAGCTTTATATATAGCAATCATAACAACCTTTTCTCTAATAACTAAATTCCTTACAATCCAACAAATCATACGATTTGCCTTAGCGATACATGCTTTGATCTGTTCGTTCCAAAGCAGGGAGCTATGGGTAATAACCCCCAAATCTTTTTCCTGTGCAGATACTTCAAGTTCTATACCATTTACCTTATAATTTAAATTAGGATTGTTGTTAAAATTAATGTGCACTACTTTGCACTTGGCAGGATTAAATTGTAAAAGCCAAATACTTTCCCAAACTTCTAATTCTTCGATATCTTCAGCAACACTACCGTGGTTAGCTGCATTACCAATTAATTTAAGATCATCAGCAAATAACTTTATCTTATTTTTTACAAGGTCAGGCAAATCATTAATATACAGAATGAATAGGAGAGGGCCTAGAACTGACCCCTGAGGAACACCAGATAAAACATGTTTAACCTCGGACCATTGTCCTTCTACAGAAACCCTCATAGTCCTGTCTGTAAGAAAATCTTTAATAACATCTAAAACCTTTCCTTTGACACCAAAGCCTTCCAATTTAGACAGAAGTCTAAAGTGGGGGACTGTGTCGAATGCCTTACTAAAATCAAAGTATAGAAGATCAACCGGGGCACCTTCATCTAAAATGTCAAGAATGTCATCGAATGTCTCTAAAAGATTAGATAAACACGATTTACCCTTAACAAATCCATGCTGATGCTTCGAAATTCGATGTTCTAGAAAATTTAATACATGTGCTCTCACCAACTTTTCATACACTTTGCACAAAATACACGTTAATGAAACTGGTCTATAATTTAAGGGGTCCGATTTAATACCCTTTTTAAACAATGCTACAACAGATGCAGATTTCCACACTGCAGGTAAAGATCCTGTATCTGAACACTTTTGAAATAATTTAGTTAATGCTTCAACAAAATTGTTGTCATAAGCTAGCGATTTCAACAACTTCGGATGAACACCATCCGGACCAGAACTCTTAAAAATGTTAAGCTTTAAAAGTTGCTTTTTTATATCAGAACTGCTGACTTCCATATCATCAATATCATCAATACTCTCATTGTCAGGTCTTAAATTCTCAGTTTTAGGGAGAGGGCCAGGTGGTTCACGCACAAAAACAGAGCTAAAGGCACTTGCGAGTACCTCAGCTGACTCAGTTGAACTATCTGTGCGTGTACCATCTCCTCTATCTAAAGAAACCACACTTGATTTAATTTGACGTTTATTTCGTAAATAAGAGTAAAAAGACTTACAATTCTGCTTAAGATTAGATGTAATTTTCTTTTCATAGTTAACTTTAGCTTTAATTTCTGCTACTTCATAAGTATGTTGTTTGCTACTTGCATAACTAAAATTAACATCAGATGGATTAATATCAAACTCAGCCCATGCTTTATCTTTATTCTTTCTCATCCGTTTAAGTGCAGATGTACTCCATGGCAACTTGACAGGTCTGTTGTCGAGATAAACCGAAGCAGTCGGAACAGCTGCAGCAACAGTCTCCAGTTTACCATGTAATTCAGCCCACATATCTTGAACATCATTGGTAGAACTATAATCCCAGTCGATATTTTTCAAACTAAAATTTAATAACTCTTCAGAGGAAATCTTACCCCATATAGGTTTGATAATCTTCTCTTTTAAACATTTGCTAGTATCCGGCGAAACAACTAGTTCGACAAGTATCCCAACATGATCACTCTTACCAAGCGGAGAAACGATCTTACAACCGTTGACAAGAGCATCATTTGTATACAGGACCTGATCAAGAAGACTCTCCTGGAGAGTATCCTTCACAAGCCGTCTTCTAGTTGTCTCGTTGGTGAAATACCAAGTTAAACCACTGTCATTGAAAACATCCATGAATTTCTGTTGAGTAACTAAAAACTGGTTCTTGCTAGCAATATTACTATTTATGCTACCAGTTTCCCATAAAACATTTGGTAAATTAAAATCTCCTAAAAGGAGTGTTTCAAAATCATTCCTTTCACTACAGATGCTCTTGATACAAGATATTAACGCATTATTCTGTTCTAAATTCAATGAAGTGGATCTGTAAATACAACAAATACTAATCAGTCCACCTGATGTGTTGATATTAACAGCTAAAGAATCCGGTGCCTTTAAAAAAGAGTTCACTAGTGAAGCATTACAACAGTTATTAACATAAATTATAGAGCCTCCTCCACCACTTATACTGCCAGTGGAATTGTCAATTCTAAAATCTCTATCTTTTCTAAACATACTAAATCCTTCAATATAAATTTCGGCATCTAATATATCACTACTAAAATGAGTTTCGGTTACACAAATTACCTCAATAGATTTATACATTGATAAAATACATTTTAGTTCATCAATTTTATTAAATAGGCCGTTAGCATTGGTATAAAAAATATTTAACGGCTGGGCACTGCGGCCTCCGCTTTGTCCTCTGTCTTCTCTGGCTCTCTTTTCTTTGCTTCCTCCTTCGTCTTCTCTGTCTCTCTTTTCTTCGCTTCCTCCTGCCTCTTCTTCCTCTCCTTTCTGGCTAAAAAACGAATATCTCTGTCTGCCTTGCAGAGGTCCAAGTTGATCCAATAAGTTGACTCTTTCCAGCCCTTACCATGGTCAGCGTAGAAATTTACTGACTCTTCATCTCGTGTCTGGATGATGAGCGGGCGACGGTGATCTGGCTTGTCAGCATCAAGCTTGCCAGAGCGATGGCAACTTATCATGTCGTCCTTCTTAATCTTTAGGGTCTCCCTGCAGAACTTGGAGTCATCCTCCTGGCGTTGCTTAGAGGTAGTCTTTTTGCTCTCTGGAACCTTGAGCACACACAGATTGAGTTTTCGTTTGTTTCGCTCAAATGTATCAGTGTGCATCTTCATTTGCACTTCCGAAATAACAGTTTCAGAAGCTTGTTCACGACTCATGTCATCGAGAACCTTCTTCTGGGTTTGTGCTGTTACCTCAGAATAGAGACGAACAGCTTTATCAACTGTTTTCTCTGCGCTTCCTTTAATAGCTTCCTTAATCGAGTTAGTCAGGGCTGGGGTCAAATGTTGGAGTTCCTCTTTAATAATAGCCCTGACAGCCCCGTTTTCCTTAGTGTCAGCTGAGGTATGAGGCGCCACAAAACAGTATGGGCACTTCCAGTTTGTTAGATTCAGTAACATCTCGTTTTTAAGGCCAGATAAACCAACACAACTCAGGTGCCAAAATAATTGGCAAGCTTCACATTCAACTGATAGTTCTTCTGACATGTAAACATCACATTGGCAGTATTTTTCCTCTGGCACTGGGACATTATCAGAAGATGAATCCTTAGGGGGACTCGTCTTGACTCCACGTTTTTTTCGTATCGACACCCTCTCGGGTACATTGTTACTTGCCATCCCTGAACTCAAATTATTTGTTATATAGTAGTGTTGAAAGTATTACCATTTTGAAAATCTCTGATCACCTCTATAATTTCTTCTTCATTAGTTTCTTCCAGGTATATGGAGTCAGATACCGAATTAGACATAAACTGAGCAAATGATTCTACTGGTTCCAGAGAAATACTATTGTTTGACAGTACATTTTTATTGAGATTACTTGCAAGAGATGTAAAATATTCACAGAATTTGTTAGCAATTATTCGTCTGCAAGTAACTCTCTGGCCATCTATAACAAAATCGTCCTTACATCTAGACAAATTTTTGCCACGGAGTTCATTTATAATTTCCCAAGTCTTTTTTGAGTTCATGCTGTACTTCTCGAATTTTTGAGTATAGCACATAGCCTTTGCCATCTTTATTGAGCTCTTGAGAAACTTGTCGAATTCCTTGTAGTAGATGTGCTTGTTTGGATCCCCATCAGGTAGTTTTAATGTACAAGTCTTCTTCCATTCGAAATACAACCTAGCTTTCTTGTCGATGGAGTTAATGAGGCCCTGGGTGATCCAAGGGTTGGTTATGCTGTTACGTTTAGTGGTTCTAGGAGTTAGAAGTTTGCAAGACAAATCTATCTTTTCTTGAAATAACTGCACGAAAGAGTCAAATGTGTTACAGCTGTGGTGGAATCTATCTATATCGTTTTCTATTTCAAGACAGAGCTTCTCTAAGTTAGCATTACTATAGTCGTAGTGTATAGTAATTTTGTCTGATGAATCAGGTGTTGGCACAGAGTCAGGGGAAAGTTCAATAAGAGTGAATATAGGGTGATGGTGGGAGATCTTGTCAGATATCACACCAGAAATAAGGGATTGATCTACGACATTGGTATGGATATTGTCAATACAGGTCCTGGAACAGCCAGGCATTTGGTGAGTTGGTACTGATATGGTTGGTATGAAGCCGTTGTTGAATATTATTTCTTGGAATTTGTCCTCTGATGGAGATGGGTCGTTCAAAATGTTAACATTGAAATCACCAAGAATATATACTTTTTTGCCATTCAGTTTTGAGAGAATACATTCATACGCTTTGTTGAACATCTCAAGTGATGCGTTTGGGGGACGGTATATAACCCCTACGACAGTTGGATCTTGCAAGCTAGTGATAGATACAAACAGTGATTCTATGTGTTCATTACAGAGAGATAAGTCAGTGATTTTGTTAAAGTTAAGGGAATCGTGTAGGTAAAGACACACTCCTGACCCTTTACCCTTGAACTGGTTTTTCTCTTGGCAAAAGTAGCGTGATTGGTAACAGGAGGAGTATCCGTTAAGCTGATACAGAGTTCCATTTTCGGGATTAGTGTTTGTTTCTGCAAGGCCGATAACAGAGAATTTGTGGTCGATACAAGACAATTCAACTGCAAAGTTGTCAAAGTTTGATGCATTTCCATCAATATTTAGAAATAATTTTGACAAATATTTAGCTGAATTTTTAGGTAGGATGGTGGCATTCAACACGCACTGATTAGTGAAACAAATTTAGTGAAACAAAATTGTAAAAAAAAAAAAAAAAGAAAAAAGGGGGGACCCCCAACCCATGTAGCTGAGACACCTCACAGCAAGTAGACCAAAGTGGCTCTTGCTTGTGAAAGGTGCGTCAACTACCCGCCGAAGCGGTGGGTTGGGAGTCCCCCCTGGGATCATTTCGTCCGTAAAATTATATACAACATAAAATAGTACAGTAAAATATCAAAATTTACATAAACAAATCTAGGAGACCTCAAAGCTCGTCTTCTGGGGGATGAGGTTGAAGGAGATGTCATGCAGTTCAAGATGCTGGGCCGTTGATCTTCCTCTGATTCCTCTTAGAAACAAAATTGTTGCTATAATTGATTTAAATAAAAATTTGTTGTTTTCTTGAAAATTTGTTGTTTTCTTGATAGCCGTTTCAGCTGTCTGGGAAAAGCAGTTAAGGAAGATATTGCTGGGTTCATCCCTTTCAAACTGATTCCATCATGTGAATCGTACGATTTTTGACATAATGATTGGTACTACACTTATATTATTCCGGGCAAAACTTGATATTTGTTTTAGGACATTGATGAAAACATAAAAATTACGACTAATTTTGGTAGCAATAGACCATTTCCTTTACCAGTGTACTGCCGTGCTCTACCAATTGCATCGCATGATTTAATTGAATGTATTATCTGATTGAATGTACTTCAGTCTAGGTTTACACACGGATGTGCCTACATTATTAGTAAGCTTGGAGACGTAAATACTTAAGCAAGCTTCTTATAACTAGCTAAATTCTTTCAGTTCTGGGATGAAGTGCGTTGTGCAAAGAAAAGTCAAATATTGTGTCACAGAATTTGGTTTAATTCGGCATCAGTGGCACTGCCATATTAACTATCAACTTTACCATTATACAATTCTGGTATACCAGAAATTGTAGACAAAATTATCAATTCGTATAATCCTATCAAATTTGTAAACCTACAAGAAAAGAATGCCGCGGATTCATCATTGGGATTAGTTGTCATTCGTACACGTTGTCTGACCGGACCCGCTGCGCGCGCACGTGTGCACGGCTCCCCTTGTATCGTAGAAACGCTTATATCATAATAAACATAATTAAACTTGAACATCCAATAATAAAATCATGAAAATTAGATATACTATGTAAAATACACTTTTTATAGCATATTACTTTGTATTTCAGGCTGTAGTTTTATAATTTAACTTAACCATTTTTAATGATCTGGCTCGGTGCGCGCTACTTCGTAACACTTGCCATCGAGAAAAAAGCGGCGCGCACTACTTCGAAGAAATTTAGAAGAGTAACATCTGTCAATAACTTAACAAGACATGGCATGCGCGCCGAGTTAAACTCGTCGACGGTCTTAGATATCAAATATATAATATTTGGTTCACCTAGCCATGAGTCTACGCGTACTGCAAGCGAAAGGGCTCTGGATGGAGCAAAATATTTGGAATTAATATTTTACAATTATCACCCGTTGATTTCGAGCTGCTCCTCAACAAAAGTTACTTACGCTATTGTGGTTTTTACTAAAAAATAAGCATGGCAATAAAAAATGAACAGTAATTTATCTTGATACATGTTGCGTATCACAAACATCAGAGTGCAGAGATATTTTTCCGCGCGTGAAATAAGTGGCATGCAACGTATGTCAAAGTTTATTTAGTTTTTACACGTATTTTATTAAGATCTTTGAAATCTAGATTTTTACCTGAAAACTCAAAATTGAGAGAAATCTGGTTCCAAAAACTTGTGTGTGATTAAAATATCAATTACACCCACACGAATTTGTGGAGCGATATCTCAAAAAATGTTTGATCGGTAGCATGTACAAAGTTGTTGGTGCCAAACATTTTAATTCCGCTTCGTTCGATATACACTATAGTATTACTATTCGGGTCGTAACTTGGTTGTTTTTTGTTAAATAAGATAATCCTTTGGAGAGGTAATTGTAAGCGTTAATAACGATCCATTAGGATTTTAATAACGATGAGCTAAGATATACCGTTCATCTTAGACTATTGGATCAATCTTATTATGTGATTAGATTTTATAAACGAACCTGGCATACAAAAGATTGTAATGCGGAGGTTGGCTGGCTCTTCTATAATAAATACGACACTCCAACTTACAGAATGCTTGCTAGAGATAAAACAAAATATTATCAGACTATACATGCAGCATGAGTAACTGGTGGATAAGCCTTCGGTAAAAACGGATCCGGAAAAGTCAATGCGGCACTCGGGTCCTTGGTATTGTCGTCGGTATATTGTCCATTATTTACGTTCTGCTTTCATAGTTCAAACAATAGTGAGCTCTAAATATACAGCTTTAAACCGATTAAGTATGAATGAATGAAATACCTGACAATCCGCACTCCTATAATTCAAAAGCATGAGTAACTCGTAGTGATGTACGATTTCTAGAAAGTTTAAATTAAATTTGGCGCTCACAGGTCCTCGTGATCATGTGATCGCCGCATAATGTTCTGTAAATGCGCAGGGCACCTTCAAGCTTAAATTATTCACCATACTGAGGCAGTCAACCAACGAGCGGCTTTATTTTTATGATATGATATGTTTTGATTGTTATTAATAAATACCAAAATTTAAATTTGTTTTACTAAAATTTGTTTTACTATAAAGATTCAGTAAAAATAATATCTCAATACCTTAAAAAATGACTAAGAAATCGGTATTACAAAGATCGGTATCTTTAAAAAGATAAAAATGATCTTTTCCGAATGAGGGAATATTCTAAACAAATTTTGAATATGCCTAAACTTATTGTTTTTCCATACTTTCACATTATGAAATAAATTGAGGGTGATTATGCGAGGTTCTTGTAAGTGGTCTATTCAATGAAACAAGGTAATGAACGAAGAACAACTTACAATGAACTGTATTACATGGAATTTTGTTTTACTTAACCGTTTTACCCTCATTTTTAATGTAATAAATGTCATAAAACCTCGATTTACTGTAGAGTTCGGGGGATATGATATCAGTTGGCAATAACCATGCATTCACACAGAAGTTGTTGGGTCAAGTGACAAGATCACAGTTACTGCTATTACAAAATAAAAAATCTATGATTGGTGGTGTAACGTTTCACACTAGCGCCTCCATGTGCAGTGGCCCTAGCAGCCCTTTTTGGCACCTATTTTTGGCACCAAGAAAGTATAAAAGTATAGTTCAATAAATCATGGAAACTGTCTGGATACAGTGAAGATTGCCGCATGTGATTGTGTCTACAGTGGGAAGTGGGAACAGGGATTATGGAGATTAAAGAGAGTTGGCACGAGAGAGACTAAATGTGTGTTATACAATTTTACTCAAACCATTTCAGCTTATTTTATTATTATATTCTGTGTTTCATTTTGTATAACAATCCCACTCTTCTTGTAGGTATTAACAGTTTATGATAAACTAACTTGAATACCTGGTTGAATCTTTTCCTTTCATTCCTATTCAACCCTCCTGTTTCTTTGCAGCCATGGATGTTATACCTTTTTGTTGTACATTGCCATGAAGGTTTACTTTTCTGTATTATTTTTATGTCCTTGCACCCACTCACCCACAACTTTGTAGTTTGTGGGATCTTCAGCAGAGATATTGGTAGTCACTTCTATTTCAAGCTCAAAAGACTATCATTGATTACTTATCAGAGATTAAAATATCAACCTATTCGGCCCCTCACAACTAACTCAAGATTAAAAATTGTAAATATGATAACAGTTCCTAACCTTTCAAAAGTGTACATGCTACGATTTGTTAATGATTTGTAATTATTTGACCACCCCTTTTTTACTATTTGTACTTAAGGGGGCCGGGGGGGGGGGGGGGGGGGGTCTTCATCAAAATTCTCTCAAAATTGATTTTATGGTTGTTTCTAATAGAAGGGAGTAATATCTATCAGCTGCTTTTGGTCCCGTGAAAAAATATTGTTTCTTGCCGAAATTATCGCTGGTCAAAGGTCAGCGCTCATGTATAATTGTATTGCGTGAGCAATTTTCAATCGCGCTTCCTGAAAATTGAGTCTAAAAATATATTTTTTTCTACAATTTTTGAGCAATCACCCTCAAACTTTCAGGATATGTTCTAGGGATCATTTAGAAGAGAATTGTCGAGCCGAATTTGAGATAGGCCTCAGAAAATTTTTAATTCGATTTTGAAAATCTTGGACCTCATTTTTTGACGATTTTTCCAGGTCCAAGATTTTCAAAATCAATAGATTTTTTGACACACACATGAGCGCAGACCTTTGACCAGCGATAATTTCGGCTATGAACAATATTTTTCCATGGGACCAAAAGCAGCTGATAAATATCGATCCCCTCTATCAGAAACAACTATAAAATCAATTTCGAGAGAATTTTGATGAAGACCCCCCGGCCCCCTTAATGGTTATTATCAATATCAGATGTAATTTTGGTACTTTTATACAAGGTCAAAAGGAAATTGCAGCACGTCCAAATTCACCGCGATTTTGCCTAGTTTGACTTGTCGCGGTTTTCTTTTGTACTTGCTTTTATATCATGTTAAAATATTTTTAAACTATGGGTTTAGTTCTGGTTATCATCACCATTCGCCATTTATTTGAAAGATTTCGGGTTTTCTTTCTAGGGAAAACTGTGACAGCCTTTTGTTCTGTTCTTGTCATTTACGTCACAATCGCAAGAATAGCAAAGCAAGTTCGATAATTCGAAATAAGTAGTCCTTTTACCCTTTTCTCCACAATATATTTAAGGAAACTTAAAATTCAACAGCAAATGTCAATCACCCCCTCCCGACAACCTGTTAATATAATCTGGGAAGTAAGTAAAACAAAATTTTAGTAAATCAAAATTTTATTTTACACCCATAATCAATTCATATTTAGTTCAAATATTTAAAGTCAAAATAACCATTTCACAGAAGTGGTTTTATTATAATAAAATAATTTGTGATATGTGTACACGTGATAAATTAATTTACACTAAAAAATGTACAAAAAATACACAATTTTTACTTTGCAACACTGGTTCAGCGCACGGCTGATCAAAAACATTTACTAACTAGTGTACAGCGTACGCGTACATGAAAAGATGACTTACTGAATTGTTTAATAGTTAATTAGCCACGAAAATGTTCAAATTGTGTAAGAGGGTAAAGGACACAATTGCTAGTAATGCTTCTTCTTAAGTGTGAGTTCTTATCCCTACATTATAAAGCAAATTACATGTTTATATTCTTGTTCATTAAAAGTACAACATCAATAGGTGATGAAGATAACAACGTTTGAGATCCGGCTTCACAACCCTCAGCCAGTATACTATGCCGGACAGACCGTAGCAGGACAGGTGTATCTTGAATTAGCAGCTGAGCTTGACTTCCGTGCCATTACCTTGGCACTGCATGGTGACGCAAATGTAAGTGTTATTACATAAATTTAGGTTACTGTTGGGTTTATATCCTAGATGTTTCTTCAGGCAGTGCACGGCCTGTGATTATAGTGAGATAGTGATCCAGTGAAGCGAGTGATTGGCTTGCTTATTTGTTGCTACTATGTGAAGATTAATATGGTCCCTAGTCTAGTCTGAATCAATTATTCATTATGATTACCTCGTTCTCACTGTGGATTACTCAGCTCTTCTCACGCTACTCCACCCCACCCCACCCCACACCCTTACAGCATAAGAAGGTAACTCACGTTACCTTTTACAGGTTGCTTGGACGGAACATCATGGATCAGGGAAGAGCCGCCGCACAGTTCACTATCGTAACAACGAGACCTACCTTAACATAAAACTCTATCTCATCGGGGACGGCAAAGAGAAGAGCAAGCTTCCGGCTGGAGGTCACAACTTTCCCTTCTCTATAACTCTCCCCATGAACCTACCCTCCACTTTCATTGGAGATCACGGTTAGTACTCAGAGGGTGATTTGCTTCCAGGGTGTTGTTCGTGACCTGGGGTTATACATATTTATTAATTATAGTTATCTATTATTATCATGATAAATATTCATTATCAGAGGTGAGAGGAGCTATCTGCCATCATCAATTAATACTGTCCCCACAATTGATACCTATTTACATACTACTTTGACAATTAATTGATTCTGCTCGATCTGCAATTATATCACTCGCCTACAAATCCCCCTTTAATTTAAATTTATAACTTTCAAACATATCATAAATACAGGTTACAGCAATAACGAATATATATATATATATATATATATTTTATACATCCTTAGTAAGCTACTTTAACAGGCTTATCTCGTTCAGCTATTTTAAGATCCATAATATCTCGTAAATACCATCGAATAAAGCGTATTGCGATCAAACTGTTACTAATGATATATTTAAATAGGTATTCTAAAAGTCAGATATTAACTTCATAGTATGGAAACATGTGGATGCTATCGCTCTTTTTAAATAAGATACATCTGACTTGAGTAATTAAGGCCACCAAGATGAGACTCAAAGACCATGCGGCTTCATAGTTCACCACCTTCTATAATAATCCATCTTTATGGCGTCAGCAATTGTATCAATTTGCATATCTTCATGAAATGCAAATTCTAAAAATTGCAACAATTGTTATCGGCTCCGGCAATATCTCGATATTATAGCTTAAATTTGCATAAAGTCTAAATCCAAAGTCTAAATTAAACAATTTGGCATAATCATGATAATGATCATCGTTTGTAATTTTGAGATTTAACTTGAAAAGCGATTACACTCACAGCGACACAGATTGAAGCTCACACCACATACTCCCAGGGCGAGTGCTGTACTTATTCAAGTGTAACATTGATAGACCGTGGAAGAGAGATAACAACCTCCACCTTTATATCACAGTTGTGTCATTGCTCGACCTCAACCAGGATCCCAGTGAGTACTTATGTTATCTTAAATAAAAAATATTTAAAAAAAATTAATGTTCTTATCTTAAAACAACAAATATTCATATTTTGATGCAAGAAGAAGTGTTCTGTGATTAAGTTATTGTAGGCTAAAAATTAACATAGACCTTGATAGACCTTGATACTGCCATAAAATTAAAAACTTTTCTTTCACCTTCCCACCAGTACCCGCATCTATACAGCTAACATTTGCTAGTTTTAAAAGAGCTATCCAGATCACTGAATTTTAAGGAAAATTCACCGTTAGCTCTAATTTGCGAAGGAAAAATGCGAAATTTAATTTTTGTGGACATAGGTTTTTTGTTTGAAGTTTGGAAGTGTTCCTATTTAGTTCAATATTTAAACCTCTGCTGTCTACACCTCACGAAGTGTCAAGAAACCGTACCAGAACTTGTTTTTAAGAGTCACAATACCATGTTTCATGAAAACTTATACTTGTACTGACTACCACGGCCCAGTACAGTTCTAGTTTTCATGGCCAAAACCGTAGGAATAATCGGTATTTTCTACTCTCCCGTGAGTAATTCAAAGCTTAATGTTATCTGAACATTCCCAAATCATTACCTCGGACCGTGAAATCATATTGCCTATTTTACAACTGAAAGTTCTAGAATAACATTCAGAAACTCAAACATTTGCCGAGTGCCGACTACTACTTCTTACAGCCGTAATAAATCTTAAGAATTTGTAATGCGCTTGGAGTTCTAAGTGCCGAGATACCACGCCCTTTCCTTGGCAATTCTAGCCAATTTCGTCAGCCCAAATGACGATATCTTATACAGGCCAATGTCAACACTTAAAACGTGGTGTTAAGGAGTTTTTTTAGTTCTAATTATAACAACGTTTTGTTGTAATTACATCTTTGCTAGTGAAGGTGTGACATAGTCTAATGTCTAAAAAGTCTTAAAATGGATATGACATAGTGTATCGTCCTAACTCCTAAGATTGTCTAGATTGTTCGTCTGAAATCTGTTCACCTTTCTCTAGACCTTTAATATGAGCCGGTAGTACGATATCAGGTGGTAAACGGCATAGTTTCGGTCTAGAATACCATGTACTAAACACTACTACTAGTACTAGCGACTACTTGCTAGCAGTTGTAGAATGTAGGGGCTAGGGTTAAGTTCATCTTTCAACGCGCAACTTTCCCCTTTCCACAGTTCTTCTAACATTCTTCTTATCTTTAACATTGGAAAATAATAGTTAAATAGTAAAACTAATAAGACACCAAAAGTTACAGAACGATCGGTTTAACTATTAAAATGTAAAATGCAGTGACTAGTCTCAGTTATAACGACGTCTCATTTCTGGATCGGTGATCAGTAAAATGTGACACAAATCATCGGCAAGGCACTAGAATCCTTAAAAGTATACGTGTAAGCATTACTATTAAGTAATATAAGTAAGGGAGTCGTGAAGGCTGAGTCCACCTCGGTACCTGGCCATTTACAGGATCTTAAAATTATTGTGTTTTTATTCTCTACGGTATTTAATTCAGGCCTATATATAGGGTCTAAAGAGCTGAGAACAGATAATATTAACCTGTAAATGGTTAAGTGTAATAAAATCATGCAACATTTATAATTGAGTTCAATGCCTCTGATGATGGAGAGATACTCTAATAAACTGTTCAGATAACCCAGGCTTCATTTGTCTTCAACATCAACATTATTTTCCAGGTTAAGTGAGTGTTTCTAAGGGATTTAAAGGGATCGTCCACATTACAATTTATATTGAGTAAGTAAAGCCAGATTTAGGCCATTTTTGTCCTCCGTAAGCTAATTTGCACATAGCTATTGTGAAGAAATTAGCGGTCCTGCTTTTCCAATGAAGGAACACTACGTAATAAGCTCAAGCTGTAGAAAGTATTAAGCTGATCAATCAACTTTTATTATTTCTTTAAAGTTATGATAATATCTGAAAAAGTCTTGTACATGATATCATCGACCTTGATTGTCAACTTGTGGAAAATTAGTTCTCTAGTAAGTCCTCATGGAGATTATTTTACAGCTTCTTAACAGTATTTTGCAGTTGTGCCGCCCATTAATAAGTCATCCCCAAAGCATTATTACATTCAGTTTGCTGTGTGCAGAAGGTACTTACCAATTTAAATGGGCTCTGAGGGTAAAATTGCTGTTAAATTTAGGGCATAAAAACTGATATTTATTTTACATAGTAATGTACTGTGTGCTGGTCCCAAGTCCAGACGCCTTCATTAATTGGTTTTTAACACAATGGCCCTGTCTAGTCGTTATCTACTGTTAATATGATTACTGCTGGAGATCATAGACATCACATTTACTGTGATAAAATACAAAAGTAATCAATAATTGAGTAATGTGAATTAGACTGTCATTAACATTATTAGCATATTATTCTGTATTTAAATGGCTTCCTGTGCCGTGATCTATAAATATTTATTCATAACAATGCCAAAATATGTCAAGTCTTACATGTTGTATACAGAGCAGCGCTCAGTTTCAATCTATCTGGCAACTTGTCATATTTGAATTCTTTCAAAATAGTATAATATAAACTGTATCAAATTTAAAAATTTTACAATAGACCATGTTTATTGTTTGTAATTATTAACAAATGGACATCAGATAGTTGACTTTAGCAGTATACACAGTACACATAGCCAAATATAATAAAATTGTCTCTAAAGTATGCCAGTTTGGTTACTATAATAATGTAATGTTATTATATTGGAGCGAAAGAAGGAATTAACAAGTTTCTGCTCGTCTCAGCGTCTCCGAATTGAACTAAATTTAACTCTGTCCAACATACTAGTACAGCAGTTCTTCTGCTATACTAACTGATTTGCCAAGCACAAATCAGCAGAATATGTCATCGAGAAATAGTGAAGTCAAACAGAATTAATATATTTATAGTACTGGAAGTTATTTATCAAACTTCGCATATAATTGGTAGTCAGGAAGTCTAGCTTACCGTACTGTTTAAATATCACCGGAAAATCAGAATTAAACTTTTTAACTAAAAACCCCGTATAATATATTAAAACCAATATAAACCTTCAAAACTGGTGAATTTTATAAAATTTAATTTACAGAATACATTTAAAATATTTGTAGAATTCTAAAGAATCGGAGATTTCTCACCAATCACCCGTAATTAGTGAAGGGATATTTAATTAGTGAATCTGTACTTTGATTAGTGTTAAATATTGGACCTCGCCACAACCTCGCCCAGTGCCTTATGAGGTTTGTAAAACATGTTAGACAGTAGCAGGGTGAAGCAGTACAACCTTACTTAGCAACTGCAACCTCACTTAGCCAATAGCCCTGTGTTAAACTCGTGTGCCATGTTTTGGCCCCTAATTTCATGTCCGATTTAAAGGCCAACTTGTTAGTTAAAAAATGTATTTTGGTAAAACGATAATTTATTTTTAAAGTTTATGACACAATCAAACAATATTAATATATCTATACAGTTAGGGCATTATGGATATTTTCTGGGAACTAATTTGCTACAACTACAAGTATTTCTGTGGAAGAATGTGTTCCCAGCTCCCAGGAACCACCCCAAAGAGTTGTAAAAGTAAATCTGATGGACAAAACTATCTAGAGAGTATTTTCTCCAGGCAACTTACTATGAACAAACCTTCGTTTGGAAGGTATTACAGACTTCTGGATGAATGCAAAATAGCCGCAACTAACATATTTATATACAACTTATTATAGTATTATGGGCTAAAACACTTACTTTTTGAATTATTAAGTTATTAGTGAAAAACTGATTGTTGGCTTCACGATTTAACGGAAATATAGGTGGGTTATAAATTGGGCTGATAGAGGTCACACATTGTATAATTTCAAATATTCATACTTGGGAATGACTTTAGTGTTAGAAATTCTCATAATATAAGTTGGTGTTACAGTTAGAAAGTAAACATGGTGAGGGTAAACAATACACAGTGGTATAAGGAGTACGTACTTTTTTCACATGAAAAACTTGTGTAAGTATACACTAATGAGCGTGTTGACGGCACTAATCATCAGTTGTTACTTCTCCTAGATGATCTCAAGATGTTCGGTTGTATGCAGCTGTCTAGGTAGATTTAGTTCAGATGATGGTATAGGGTTGGGATCTCGCGAAGAATGATGAGAAAATAATAATGTTGATAAACATTCCAGCGAGCTCCAGAGCACAATCTACCTTATTTTAACGCATTCTTGAGGTATTGATCCCTTTGGGAGCTGAATGTTTTATCGGCTATCTAGATCCCTAACTTCTCCCTTATTGAAAATATCTTACTTATTGACAGTAACTTACTCATCAGCTGTAGCTTCTGTCTTTACTTCAGAGTGAGGTGGTGCCCTGTTTGTAAAGATTTTAGGCTCTTAAAACATCTCCCCATTTCATCTGCACTCCAATCAGTCGTACGTCTTGATGGTCTATTCAGTAACACTAGTTGACACACTCCCCATGAGAATCGGAAAGTGGCGTACCGCGTACTGCACTAATAATATGTCAAATGAAAATGTATGGTTTCAAATTCCTACACGATATGTAAAATATATATATCGATACTATTGCATGATAGATAAAATTAGAGTTAAATAGATTCGTTTAACGATGTACACATGTATATTATTGCAAAATTTGACACGCACATACACTGCAGCAACTCGACACAGCACATTATATCTTAAAACATAACCGCTGATCAACCACATTATTTCAGATGCAGCATCGCCGATGACCAACAGTGGGAGTAAAAAGTTCGGTTGTCTCTGCTGCACAACTGGTCCCCTCAGTGCTACACTGTCCCTCCCCAAGCTGGGGTACGTGTGTGGGGAGACCATCTTCTTTTCCGCTAGTATAGAGAATCTTAGCAACAAGGTCATGACCAAATCAACGATAAAGCTGATCGAGCGCGATATTTTCATATCAGCGCGTGGCAAGCAGCGGCACTCAAACCGGATAATATTGACCCACCAGGAGGAAACCATTGCACCGGGTGCCAGTTTCACGTGGAGTAATGTCGGGCTCCTCATACCCCCTCTCCCACCCTCCCAGCTCATCTACTGTAACATCATCGATATAATATACACTGTGGAGCTCAGTGTGGATCCCTCAGGGATTGGGTTTGATCTGGACGTTCCGGTGAACATCACCATCGGTACAATCCCACTTCGTCAACAGTACCAACACATCAACTACCAATACCAGCCGGACGCAAACGCACCGCCTCCAGCAATAGGTGCACCGCCACCAGACATGAGTGCACCCCCACCACCCAGCTATGGAGAAGTGGCGCACGGTGGGGCGGCGATGGAGGGAACTGAGGGAGAAGGGAATGAGGTCCAGGGAGGTGGGACTTACGCTCCTAGTTATCCGACTTATGCGTTTAATAAGAGTTAACTTCAAGACAGTTTACTCTTTATTCTAGTCACTAACTGGTCACTAACTGGTCACTAACTGGTCACTAACTGGTCACTAACTGGTCACTGACTGGTTACTAACTGGTCACTAACTGGTTACTAACTAGTCATTAACTAACAATTGTACAGTGCTTCGAGTATGAGATTCATACTGCGACTGCTAGCCCTATTACAGATAATTTAGGATCTGTTGAGCTGTTGAGGGAACATCACGGACATTTGGTGGGTATATCGGAGTTGCAATTATGGCTGATTGTTTTTATCAACTATACTGCTTTGAGAATAGTCAGGTTAGAGTCAGGTTCCGCTTTAGGTTATGAACACTAGAAACACAAGTCAGTTATGTAAATAATCATCACTGATGTGGTGAGAATATGCTGTTTTGTTTACTTTGATCTAGCTGCTGTTTTTTGCTTTTCTTATAATACTGCTTGAAGAATGTTTGCGAAAGAAAATACCGCATGTAATTGTACACTGTAGTGTTTTTAAACAACGTTTTAGTTTATGATAATTGGTTGATGAATATAACTGTTTGGTTTTTTTTGAAATCTTGAGCGATTTATTTCCCAATAAAAATGCATTGCATGTGATCCAGTTGAATCTTGATCTTCATATAATCGATATGGTACACGTACTCTAGTTCGAATAGCACACTAGTTCGACACGTACTCTAGTTTGAACTATAGTTATCGAACTAGAGTGCGTGTCGAACTAGAGTACGTGCATTTCTGAATATAACAATTTTCTGAGTTATGGAAAGTATTCAAGGCAATGTAACTATTTTTAGTTAATATTATAAGAAATAGTGTCAGTAATTCAAGAAAATGTGCTGATTGCTGAATCGATAATTTTTATCATGTTGTCTTTTTTATTTCACACTGTACTTTCAGTTATGATCTTTGTTTTATTGAGAGTGAAAACTGCTCAACATTAAAATTAATTGGTGTACTGATTTATCGAAAATTACTGACACATTATAAAACCTCTAACACCTGCAATGTTAAGAATAACACGGCAATCAAAATTTGCTTGCCCACTGCCCAGAGTCGAGAAGCCTTTGAAAACCCGAGTTTACCGAATATAAACACAGGGCGCGGTAAGCAAAAACCCGAGATTCCTGTATTTTTAATCCAGGGCGGGGTTAGCAACTAATGGTTAGCAACTTGCGGACTTGCCCCTCTCCCTTTACCACTTACCTATTCTTCTTACCCATTACTCTATAACTCACTATCGTGACACATGCAGATGTCTAGTGAATGTGTCTAACTCCGCATATAATCCGTACAGATCATGGATTGTTAAACATTTAGTCTACCAAAAATAGGCCATATTTTAGCTAAACTTAATGTTGTTAACTAATTATTTGTGATTAGTGACTAAATGAGCTGATGACTAATCTAATTGTTGGCCAAGATTTTTTGGTGGTAGCACAGAATGGTTAGAGGTGTTAAAGAAATTCAAGAAGAAAGTATTGATTTTAAATTTGTTATATTTTTCTCGATATTATCCCAACATTTTTTAATTTGCATGAAATTTCAAACAAATTTAACAGGGAAGGCCAAAAGTTTGACGGAAAGTTTTGCAAATTAAGAATTTAAAGTTTTTCAAAAAAATGGTGTTAACATACATTTTTCGGATCTAAGACCCTAACTCGATGTTACAGATCTCGAATAAGGCTCGCTGTACACGTTCAACCTAAATGATATGCTGTTCGCACTCGTTACACTCCAGTACTTTTCCTAACTAAACTGCATTCCAAAGTGCGCATCACACTATCACACTATCACTGCACGTTCTTAAGAATTGCGTTTAGCAAGCCTCAGATCCCACGGTTGAAGCCTCTTCTCCTCCTTCGAGCTCCACGATTCCTTCCAAATATCATTTGCAGTGGGAAAAACTCACAGAACAACCTATCATTACAGTCACATATTGCTCCTCAGTCCTCACACAAGCTCCACAACAAAGACATGCGCTAGACTTGGTGTTAGGAATAAGACCGGGTCTAATGTTATGGCATGTAAATACTAAACATTCTATTCATATCTTGTTTATACACCGCTTTATACCCGTGTTATAACATATACCTTATTCAGTTACACTGTTGAAAGTAAACGGCGTGGCCAGTAAATAACATCATCAAAAGTAAAGTCATCCGACCGAGAAATTCCTTTCCCAACACCACTTGTGATATAATAGTGTCAGGTATTCAAGAGCTCTTGTCTATTACAATTATTGTATTCAATTTTGTGATTTATGAACAAAACGGCGCGGAGGTAACCCGTCACTGAGCCATTATTGTAAGCTGCACCGGTTATTATTCGCATTGTGCAGAAGAATAATTACAAGAATATTTAGCGAGATATTTGACACATGTTCTTCTTCCCGGGCAAATTTCTGTAAGATGTCATAATTATTGTGTGTATTAACTATTAGTTTCATAATTGTGTGATAATTCGAGTAATTTGGAGAAAACTAATTTATTGATACGTTAAATGCAGAGTTAGTGTGTAAGGCATGTTCTAATTTGAGATGTGTCAATGCAGCGAAAATAACATACCGAACTAATAATAATCATAGTGCTTTCAGTGTTAAATTGGAGTTGGAACTGTGCCCTCTTTAATTTAACACGTGTGTAGCTTGACAAGTCTTTAATGTTGTTGAGTTACACGTACAATATTAACTGATATTAGTCGCTATCTTAAAGCTACCACACAGGGTTTACTTTAATACAATTACTAAAGAATTATCCATTCGGTTACTTAGATAAAGACTCGTTATCCTAAGTAACCGAATGGATAATTCCTCAGTAATGGTATTAATGTAAACCCTGTGTGGTAGCTTTAGGATAGCGACTAATATTAGTAAATATTGTACGTGTAACTCAACAATCAAGCTGCACACTAAAGGCTAGAACCGCTGACTCCTCATATGAGCATATGGCAGTGTTACCATGGTTACCGCTGGAGATAGAACTGATCGTGGTAAAGCGCGGTTTTTTGTAACTTTTGTAAGGGGTAATTTTAAAACATCAACTAAGTGTCTAGCAAAAGTAGTAATAGTGTTATATTAGACAATTTTATCGGGTTTTATGGTGACTTCAAAGAAATAATAAGTTGGACTTTACAGTCAGGTGCTATCTTACTATGTATGTAAGTTTTTATATTATACTGTTAAAAAATTAACTGTCAGACGAGAGTGTTTATTGGCAATTCAGATTTATATTATTTTCTATTGGGTTTTGTAAGAACTTGTGGTTTAAAGGACTCATGATAAGGACTTTAAAGAAAAATAATTTGAAATTTAGAGACAGCTGGAACAATTTTAAAACATCCGCAAAAGTAAGCGTATTAATTCCGCCTAATTCAGAATTTTGCAATTTTAGACATTTCTATCAGGTTTTGTAAGAACTTCAAAGAAAAAGTAAGTTGACATAATAATTAGAGTCCGATATTATCGGGCATCGGCATTTCGAGTCCTGGCCAGCGCCTTGAGGTCGGCAAAAAGTAACATTTCACCACTTGTTTCGAGTAAGTCTGAACAATATTCGGTTTAACTGGAGAACTGGTAACAGGACGCGATTTACTCTAAAACCTGAGAATTGATAATTCACTTGATCGACTGTTAATTGACGTCATTAAAATAATCAATCACGCCAGACACTTCTGAATTACAGTTTGAATTTCCAGGTATATTTGGAGTGATAGTTTTAGTAATAGTAGTATTAGATGCTATCGTGGAGAAGATGGTCGGTCTCCTGCACCTTTTCCGCCTCGACATGGTGAAAACCCCTAGGCATGTAACCTGCGTTCTGAAGGTGATCACGGCCCTTGCAGAAGGCTAGAAGGTCTTCATCTTCCTATAATTAACGAAACAGAATGAGAGATGATAACAGTTACAGTTAGACTTGATCATCAGTTCAGGGAGTAATTACTAATCACTAATCACTAATTACTAATCCAGGGAGTAATTACTAAAGTGAGCGATACTATTGGTCAGATCCTTTCTAGATGACACAGGGATTATCTGTAGCAGGTGTGCTATTTGGTGGATGTAACATAATATGTGAACATAATGATATAATGTGTGATATTATGTGAACATAATGATATAATGTGAATTTTACAGTAACAGAATGGACTAGCGGTTGGTAGAGATGATAGTACTGGGCATGTGTGAGAAATTAGAACTGGTTCGTTTAGGCTTGAACAGTAAGTGACAATGATATTCTTCAAAGATTTTTGTGCATTGAAACCAGCCTGTACGGCAATTTTTTTATAAACATTTGCCGTACAGGTTGGTATAAATACATTATCGGATCACGTACTGGAGTGCTTTTGTTATAAAATCTGACATATTATAATAAGATAATGACAGCACAAAGGGCTAACTTGTATAAATTTTGACATTTAACAACGTCATATAGCACTATGGTGCGATCAACTGATTTTGAAGCCAACAGTTTCGCTTTATAACCTTCAGAAACTGGGATTACTAGCACAATCCCTAGTATGAGCAGATAATTTGAAATTCTTGTGATTCTCTAAAGTTTTAGTGTGTTACATTTAACTTGAATGTGTTATTTCCGTAATCACTTAACTAAGTCATAAGTCTCATGAGAGTAACATAGTACATTAGCTGCAGCATATTTAGGGAATATTGAGTTACCAATCGTTAGTTTTACAATTAGTTCAACATTAGTGAACGGTTAAATAAGTCAAGTAAGTACTAAGTACCTTCTCGGTAACTAAGTAACTAAGTAACTAAGTAACTAAGTAACTAAGTAACTAAGTAACTAAGTAACTAAGTAACTAAGTACCTTCTCGGTAACTCCTGTTACCTTCTGACAAATGTATCTGAACTCCGCTCAGATTGAGTTTCCCATCCTCTGGTTCTGTACCTGGTTTGGACATAGCTTGTAGCATCAGGATGACCACATTAACCTCTGTCTCCCCCTCTGGCATTCCAGTGTCCCCACTGTCCCCACTCGTCACTGTTTCCTACTGATGACTCACCTTAGTCAGGTTCTGGTCCTACAAAACAAGCAGTGATGTCCACCAGGATCAGGACCACCAGTATGTTCAGCAGTGTTGTCAGCTTGCAACACATGCTAAAGAGAGGTGTTTATTGTTGGTTGTAATAGAGATACAACGTGTTGGGACGGTGATGGATATAATGGTTAGATAATTAAGTTATGTTTGGAATTAGGCAGAAGAACGAGCCGCCATAGATCAACCAAGTACTGGATAAAAACTAGTGATAGATTTTATCCACTTTATATTGTAGTTGACTGATGAGAATAACACAAATGACTTTCAAAGCGTAGATCAATAAAACACAGACAACTTAATTTTTAGCAATTTAGATATTTTCTTAAAACTAATAGACAAACAAAAGTATTTTAATACAGAAATTGAAAAACTAACTAAGCTTTAAAACAGCATATTTCACCAAACTAATCCTGTTATCGAATCTCTTAAATCTGTTCTGGCTCTACGTAATCAGCGAAATACCAACCATTATTTGTGTCGCTGGTTATCTCAGTGTGCCAGGTAGGACTCCACCAGGTCTTGTACTCACCATTTATCATCGCCCCCATGTATTTAATATAGACGGCGTTGCCAGAGTCAGAGAAGAGATAAAGAGAAATGAGTTTCCTGATGTCGAAAGTGTTAAAGCATCCCTGTTGTCCACCTCTCCAGTGAGAGCCTTCACCGTCTGGAGCGTCCCAGGTTGCTGAGTACGTTCTACAGTGGATGTGGTCCTGTCGGATCCCCAAAGACAGAGACGCTGTAGTTCCAGCATAGTAAAGGTCAGGTAGGTTGATGTATACGCCATCGATTATCTTGCAAACTTCAGCGAACCTTGTTTCGGTTTCACTCTTCCCGCTTTCTCCATTCGCACAGCTTTCTTTGAGGCAATCTCTGGTTCTGATCCTGACTT